TCTAGATATATATATGTTCTGTCTTGGTAAAAATCCGTGGGTACGTAATCCAAAGTAATGTTATTAATATAAAATATTAAAACTGATGCGCGAAAGAGAGCTCAGCATATTTATTATAGATCACAGAAGTGGATTACATAAAAATGAAACTCACTTGTACCACATTATCGCATCTCGGTATAAATTATCTGGAGCTTGTCAATACTAAAAACGTTTGATATAAAATGAATCTTAACGTTTTTTTTTAATTTAAATATTTAAAAAAGTATAGAAAACAGAAAAAAAAGAAGTAAACAGAGTAACAAACAAAAAATAAGGGAAAAGGCATTTAAGAGGGAGATAGAAAAAGGAAGAGAAAAAGAAACACCCAAGTAGAGAGGGGTGAACAGGAAGACAGAACATATAGATCAGTTATAATATTTTATATTAATAACATTAACTTGGATTACGTACCCACGGATTTTCATCAATATATATATATATATATATATATATATATATATATATATATATATATATATATATATGGTCATGAGTGTGTGTAAAGACCAAGCAAGAACAAAACACAATATCGAGGTAGAAAATCTTTTGTCCTTTCCTACTAAATCTGCACCAGCATTGTTTAATCTTTGGTAAAATGTGTCAAAAATAATATGCGTCGGTTAAATGATTTCCCGATTACACGAAAATTAAAATATATATATATATATATATATATATATATATATATATATATATATATAGAGAGAGAGAGAGAGAAGGTAATAAATCTGTTGGTGTATAACCCAAGTGGATCCTAGTAATATAAAATATTAAGATTTTCCTCAAAAAGAGATCAATGTATTTATTATTACAGAGCAAAAATTAATACACAGTAAAATCCTAAATCACCTCATATGGGCAATAAGCTTAGTTCGACCGACGAAAATATAATTCATCAGTCTTATCAACCCCGCTGTAGACTGAGTCCGTGTCGGAAACAGATATTTAACTGTGAACGATACAAAAACGAAAAAAAAAAAAGAAAAAAAAAGAAAAACCTAATACAGAATTTATCCATTTCAATGCTTCACTTAGACAAAAAGTAGTAGACAGTGGTAAGGTATCTGTCTTAAATTGAAGAAGTTTCATAAAATGCATACGTATATATATATATATATATATATATATATATATATATATATATAAGGAAGGGTGTGTGTGTGTGTGTGTGTAACGAATGCACGGCCGCAATTTTCGACGGATTTGCACAAAAATTTACATGCACATGCACAGTGAGTGGAAAGGCCAAGACCAGCTTTGCATATCCCAACTCTCATCGATAGTGAAAATAAACGATATTTTCATGTTTCTACGGCAGTTTTCATGTAGTTTGCGGCCATTTTCTACTGGCCAGAGTGAAAGCCAATACCTGGCTGCCACGAATAGGCAAGAAGACTCTACTGGTCAGCGTCAGGGCCAACAGCTGACTGACACGAATGTTAACTAGCATGCAAAAAAAATCGATAGCTGCATTCTTCACAACTGGTAAAAATTTAAATCTGCATGCCACTTTACTCCAATTGGCTCATTCGCTTGCTTAAACTCAACGTTGATTCTGATTCCGCAGAAGTGGGTTAGATGTGAAAAATTATTTCTTGTTCACATTCTTTTTTATTCGGTTTTTCCAGTTACGAGTCCTTTTTTTAAAGCTGATATTTTTGTGTTCATTTTGTTTAGATTTTTTTTCGTAACAGATTTAATGTTTAGTATAGAGCTTATAAAAAATTCGCAGTGTGAGATAGGCAAGAAGTAAGGCATGTAGAAACAACAGCACGGCAAAGGGCACTCCTTTAAAGGCAAGGGAGGGCAGAAATATTTTAAGTCAAGTGAGAGCAATTGCTGTATGAGTCGTACGATTTTTGCACGGGCAACGCCGGGCCATGCTGCTGCTATATATATATATATATATATATATATATATATATATATATATATATATATATATATATATATGACCTGGTGCCCTCGTTGTACGTAGATAGATAGATAGATAGATAGATGGATGGAGATATACGATTAAATTTTATTACTAAAAAACACAATTAAAAAATCATCAAATGTTCCTTCTCTGTCATATTCAACGAAACATTTCTGAAAGAAATGCTTCTGCATAATATATTACATATATATATATATATATATATATATATATATGTGTGTGTGTGTGTGTGTGTATGTGTGTGTGTGCGTGTGTGTGTGTAAAAGGGTATAGCATACAGATAGGGATTTAGATTTGTTGAACGTTTATCATCAGTTAAAGGTAGCAAGAGCAGTGATGATTGTCGGATAATTTATGATCTATTAGAACACAATAAGGAGACAAAGACAAATAAAAAAACTACGAAAGGAAACTGTATAATATATTAGAGTATTTCTTTTTTTCTATATGAAATCAATTGGAAAATATCTTGATGAAGAAAACATTGTCGGGCCACGAAGTTTTTAATGGATCAGGGAGAGAATGAGAAGATACATGCAAAGAAGATGTAGGAACAGAAGTATGAAATACTCGATAATATTAGTTATTATTAGCCTTGGAGTTTCCACGAGAAGAATTAGTAATTATTATCATTGAAGAAATTGCAGCTTCTAAAATAAATTTACTTGGTAATTACGCTGTACATCGATTGTTAACAACTCTCTTCCCCGATAACATCATGGAACCAGTTGAAACAGATGCCATTTTCATTTTTCTATATACCGGCTGTAACAGCAAAATTACCAACTTTTTCGATTTAGATCTGAGCCATTGTATCTTAGAAATGATTAACGATATCTTATTGGAATTCTCTGGGGTTTTTTTTAATAACACTGCTGGACTTCTAGAAATAAGAATGTATTATTACTTTCCATGCTTAACAGAAGATTCCAAGATCCAAGATCATTTTCCGTATGTCCGAGAGTAACAAGCTGTCTCACACGTTTCATTACGATTTCATTTTCAAGTCTTTTTTCACCGCTCTTTGACTGCCATAGCTGAAACTCCTTTCTCGCGTGCCAATCGTCTTATGGATCGAATTGGATCTTTTCTAATTGATCTCTTTAGCTCTAAGTTGTATGATGATCCGTCTTCGAGCTGTCACCCCATGATCCAGTTTTCCTCTCTACTGTTCCCTCATTTTTAAACCTATTCACCGTTCTCTTGATGGTTCTTGACTGTACGTTTAAGATGGAAGCCAGAGTATGAATGTTGGTACAATTACTATAGGTCTGAATGATCTTTTTTTTTCTCTCAACATCACTCATTTGTGAAGTCCTTGGGGCTGACACACATGATTTAACCTATTCCCTTTCTAGCTGAATAACTAAAAGGGTTTTTCAGTGATTCTTACGACAAATGGTGTCACGATGGTGCTAAACGTATTATCTGAAAATCTAGAAAAAAGAAATTCAATTAGTTTCGTGTTTTTTTTTTTATATTAAACATTTTGTGGAATGGACAGTTATCGTATACTATTACACGATTTGGACAATTTTGCTGCTACACGATTTGGACAATTTTGCTGTTACACCCGGTATATTAAGCATAAATGTAAAAACAATTTTATAAAGGGAACATTTCATGGGGGAAAAAAAATTGGAAATGTTTTTATGTTAAATCAAGAATAAATTTACATAAAACAAAAGGATCACAATATACGTGAACAAGAAGGCCCCCGTTTAAACGTACACAAGAGAATAATCATAATTAAGTCATTGTGTCTAGAAGAATCTTCAACAGAATGCAGATAGTTTCCTACCGAGAATCGAACGCGGACCGTTACGATAGGACGCAAGCGTCACATCCACTTGAGCAACGGTGGCAAAGAGGAAACTAACTTGACTCGATATAGCGCTTCTCTTGACAAATTCCGTCGTTTAACTCATCCATGTTTACTTAGCCTAACGGATTGCGCCCCGACGAGTCACGTCTTCTACGCCAAAGCATTGGATAGGATATAAAAGTGCTAGAAATTTTGATTTGAATAATCAAGGATATACACGTCATAAAAATATTGATTTGCATAATCATAATTATGTAATTCATCGACAGAATGCAGAAAGAACTTTACGGCCGTTTTGTCCTATTTTGGAACGTCCGAGAATCGAACCCGGACTGTTGCGATATGCCACGAGCGTCATACCCACTGGACCACCGGGACGAAGAGATAAGTAAACAGACTCAAAGAGAATATGGATTTAATCCCCAGAAGCCTTCTCCGTATCCTCGATATTCCAACAATCCTCCGGTTTCTGTCGTATTTATTCTTTCTCTTATTGCTTTCACTAGAATATTTGGCCAACCCCATCCTGTTCCAGATATTGCATTTTCAATTTCATTTTACCCTTTGTTGTGTCCTTTATTCTTTTTTAAACTTCGCCGCTTATTATTTAGATATGAAAATATTTTCTGTTTCTTGTAGTTACAATTGTAACTGTTTTACTTTTTTTTATATATGAAATATTCCTTATTATAACTTGATTAATTTCCTTTTCATCATTGTCGATTGCGAACATTCCCTCTTTACTTGTTGGATATATTTACTAAGCTTGTCTACATTTAAGCCAAGTTTAAAAATGTTGTGTAGTGATTAATAATAATTGACTGGAAAAATTGGCTTGCAAAACCCAAACTGAATTGTTATTTATTGAGTCTAAGACTAGCTCAGAGCCATAAGAATGGGATACCTCGTTAAGATCGAATATATTACCACAGCGGATTGTTAACTGTAAGTTCATTGATAAAATATGTTATCCTCGTCGCTTTCTAGCGGAGGTCATTCGTATTGAAAATTATTAACAATGCTGACTATATTTTTAGTTCTATCTTTTGACCTTTGTCTATTGTTACGTAATTTATCTTGTTACTTCATTTAAATTTGATTTTTGTTAAAGGTTTTTCGCATTTCTTTTAATTTTATCTAATTTAAAAGTCCTCTTTCCTTTTCCCTATAATATATTTCTTCTTTCGTTTATAGTCTTTATTTTCTCTCTCACTCGTCTATTTTTTATTTTACTCCTTTTTTGTCGACATATTCTTTTTCTCTTTTTGTCTTTCTGATTCTTCCATTACTTTCTCTTTTTTCTTCAATATTTTGTTCTTCATTTCATTCTTGCCTCAATTCAAATTATTTCCCCTTTAAAGTCTTTATTTTTCGTGTCCTTTTTATCACTTCTCTATTTTTTCATTGCATTTTATTTCTTCGTTTTTCGCCTATATTTAATTCCCTTCTTTTTTTTTTTACATTTCTTCTTCTTCTTCTTCTTCTTCTTCTTCTTCTTCTTTTTCTTTTTCTTCTTCTTCTTTTTCTTCTTCTTTTTCTTCTTTTTCTTCTTCTTCTTCAGTTTTTCTTTCTTTTTTTCTTCCTTCTTTCTTCCTGTTTTCTTTTTGGTCATATCAAAAATAACTATACTTTGAAGAATTGTCATTCCTTCCTCCTCCCTCCTTCCTTCCTTCCTTCCTTCCTTCCTTCCTTTCGATATCGTTCGCCTTCACCCCCGCTTCTATTCCATTTTCCAAAAAGATTTTGTTTTCCTACAACTGAACACCAGCCAATCAAAGTCGTGAATTTATGATCTCCGCCAATGATATGTTGTACAAATTCAGAACCCCCCCATCTCTTAAATTTCTACCACCGCCACATCCTTTTCCCGATCATTCCTCGCAACCCCAAGACATTTACTTTTTCTTTGGCACTAGTTTTCCAATACTAAATTTCTCATCTGACAAACAACAAATAAGTGCATTTGGCTTTGGGAACTTTACAGAAATGTCCACTTCAACCAACCCAAACATTTCACCCAATGCGAAAATTGAATCATATCCATAATACATTTCGTCATTTTTGTTTATTACTTTGTTTACCCTTTTTCATATTTATTTCTATATCACCCTCCCATCTATTCTACTACATTTATCTCTTCTTCTTGATACTATTTTTAAAGATCAAGTGACAATAGGCTCGCTCAATACGCCAACTCTCTTACTTATTTTAATAAAAATCTCGTTTTGGTGGATTTATTTACTTGCTATAGTGACATATCTAACAAAATACACTAATAGTAATGGTAATATTAGCCGTTCATTCAGCGAACTGCCAGCGCTACTTCATAAAATTTATATATATAATGACAAAAGTACGCAGATGTAGGCTTTAAGAAAGTTTTATTCAACTGAGACAACAAGGTTCGCATATAGTGTCCTTTTATAGTCCCAGTAAACAAAAATAACTCTCTCAATGAGGTGTGTAACGAAACAAGCGGATGGCATTCTTGATTATTCATAACAATATTTAAACCAGTTTTTCAGGCAAATAATTTTCTCATGTCCACTAATAGTTATCAGTCTTTTACACGATTTAGGGAGTTTCATTCTTAAAATTTTGTCTCAAATACTGTGGAACGTAAACATCGTGATCATTTCATATTTCATTTTTCCCGTTATATGTATTTTGTGATGTCAACGAACACTCCTTTGATATTTTTATAATAGCAACGAATACTCGTTGTCACTTTCATAATGCTCGTTGTAGTAGAGACTTTGTAATCGCAGATAAAAATATAGTACGCTGTTGAATAATGCTGGTGGCAAACGCCTTCTAATATCACTCGCACTAATAGTACTTGCTCGATAATACTCACTCGAACAGTAATCCGTAGAGTGATCTGAGTAGAGGAAAAGTATAGTAAATAGAGTAGAGAATAGCGGTCCGTATAGTAATGGAGGATAGACTAGAAATAGCGATCAATTAGACACAGGCTACCTCCCATATATACGTTTCCTCTATGGTCACGTCGTCTACTTAATTCAATAATGGGATCGCCTGTGTTTGCTCACTGGCGATCTCTGTTCAAACTCAAGTGTCGGCAGCAACACTTTATTCCTATATAACAATGTGCGATCCAATTTATTTGTTGCCGATATTGAAAGTCTTCAATAATATGTTTTCTGTTATTTGTTATTTGTGATTCTATAACGACAATCCGCAAGGTTCGAAAAGGGTTGATGATTGCTCTATTTTCTCGAAGCCATTTTAATAATCGAGAAAGCTTTTATATACAGCTGGGCGTTTAGATATTTCTGGAATATCGCGTCAACCAGGCGTTCGTTTGAAAATCTCGTTGTGACGAGATTTTTCACGAACATGACTTGAATATTTAGGTTAATTACTGTTTTTGTAGCCTAAGATTTATCAGTGCATGTTCTCTAGATTAATTCACAGAGTTTTTAATTTCCGCATCCTTCAGTTTTAGTGTTCATGTTGCTCGATTTGTTTGATTGATTGATTTGTTTCTTTTTTACGGTTTATCAACACTTTGCGGGATGTTTAAAACTGAAATATATTTTGGATGGCATGAGGTTGTTTACAGTACAAGGTGTTTCCAAGCGCCCCCCCCATCTATGTCTGACCGAGATTGAGGCTGCTTAACTTAGCTGATGTAACAGAAACCGACGTCTTCGCGTTTTCGTGGAAATTGAACTTCAGTGTCAAATTTTATCTTGCTTTTTTGCACCAACTAGATTTTCTCTTCTTTCATTGGTTTGGTAATGTATTTGAATTTCAAAATTCCAGATAATTTAAAGATTTTAATTGATATGACGGCTTTTGATTTATGGAGATACCTTAGATTTCCTCGGAGAGGACCCAGTCTTTTTCAGAATCACGTCTAGGATAATTTTCCTGCTTGGTTAAACATTTTTTTTTTTTTACTTATTTCCTTCTTATATGATTACTCGCCAGAGTCTATCTCTGCAAATTTATATTTACTGTTTTATTGTACCCGGTATGCCGAGGCCCTAATAGCGATTTGATTTTACGAAATCGCTCTCTCTCTCCCTCTGTCTGCCTGTCTGTCTCTCTCTCTCCCTAAAAGGAATACGATTCATCTTTCAAATATCCTCCGCACAAACATATTCATATCTTTTTATAGGCATCTTTTATAATAATAATGATAATAATAATAATAATTATTATTATTATTATTAGCAACATTAAAAATCATCAGCTGTCAGCATTTATAAAAAAACATCAATCAATTTGTGTATTATCATTATGTCCTTTGATTTCTGTTGTATATTCATTTAATTTCGGGTCCCAAACAAAGACCTAAACTCAGACCTGGCTTCATCTTCCAGTGATCATTTTTGTAAAAAACAAAAGCAAAAAAAATTAAGATCACATACATTTTACATAGATCAATCTCTTCGTGATATGTGAGCTGTACTTGTGTGTACAATTCTTTGTATTTCCTTAAGACATGGACCACTAGAAATCCCTTCAATAAGTCTATTGGAACCTTTCCCAATCAATCCGAGAGCCCCAACTACAACTGGAATTATTGATGACTTCATATGTCACATTATTATTATTATTATTATTATTATTATTATTATTATTATTATTATTATTATTATTATTCTCTTTGATTTCTGGCGTTTACACCTAAGATTAGAAATGGCATCATGACACTTTCTACTGACAAAATATATATATATATATATATATTACATAGATAAAGCCCTTCGTAAAGTGTGGGTTGTACTTGTGAGAACAATTTTTTGTATCTCTTTGAGGCATGAACTTCCAGGTATCCCTTCAATTAGTCTACTGCAACCACCCCTAGGGCTCCAACTACAACAGGGATTGTTGATGTTCCCATATGCCACATTTTTGAGATTTCTATTTCAAGGTCCTTGTATTTTAACAGCTTTTTGAAGATACATTGCAGTCAGCAGGGACTGCCATATCAATAAAGAGGCACTTTTTTCTTTGTGGTCTTTAATTATTATTATTATTATTATTATTATTATTATTATTATTATTATTATTCTATTTTTCTTTCCATTTCATACATTCAATGACAATGTTATTAAACGAGTATAAATTAACATAGTATTTACATGCATTCTTTTTGCACAAATTCTGATGTTAAGTGATACTTAACATGTTATTTGTTTATATTTTCTTGCACTGATAATTATCTCTTGAAAAGATAAGCAGTTCCACACAGTGTATTAGTTCTTTTTTTTAAAACAGAACCTACCAGTGCTTTTGTTATTGTGTTTGTCTTTAAGATTTCTTGATCACACGCGTGTTTCATGTCTTTGTCATTATTATTAGTATGTCTTCGATTATTTTTTGTAAAGGTTATATCTGCTCCTTCCCGCTTGGTATCAACGAACATAAAATATATTTCATTCTTCAATCCTATCCTTGCATCCTATCTGATATTATTAATTCTGTCATTCGGGTGATTTTATTTCATCCGTTTTATTTTATTTCTTACTACTTAGCAAGATTAATCGCGACAACCATGTGCGTAACAGTAATACTATCTACTAGTACCTCTTTCATAGACCATATTTTTCCCTTTTTTCAGATGGTCCAGCTATTTTGTTCTCTTCCAACGATTATCTTTCTTTCACTTATACTGTGTACTCCTGCTATAATGACATCCACTATCTGACAAAGCTTATTGTTTATGAGTAATAAAGATGGGCTTTTGGGTTCTTTCGTCCGTTTTGTATTGCTAAATCCTACGTATGTTTTTTACATTTTCTAGAACAGCTGCTGGTTTGAGCATAAAATAAACGTGTGCTTTCTCATTTAAATAGTAGCTGATTAAACAAATCTCGAGTAAATCGATATTTCAATCCAATAATACTTATTCTTTGTCCGTTTAAATAATTACATGTAAAGATTGAACATTAAGTGATATACATTTATGTTAATAAAAAAAATACATATTTTAAAAAAGGACGAGTTAAAGCTTACTATTTTTTAAAATTCTTTTTGATTGTAGAAATAATTTATCTATTTTTCTGCAATAGTGTTGAATATAATTTGTTGATATTTTGTTAGTTTATTATTGTACAAATTCTGATGAAGAAAACTAAATTAAAAATTTGCATGATGTATATTTTTTCTTTTATATAATTGTTTCCTCAATAAGAAAGGATAAGTTCGCCTATCGCCCAGTTCAAACACCTCCCCAGGCATTTGAACAAGAATAGAGGTGTATCCCTTATTTCCTGTTTAAGATTGGGTTTCCGGTTCCTTCTAAAGTCTACTTTAACCCTATATGTGTAACGTCTCTATGTGACCCCTGAAATTTTATTTATTATTTAGTTTTTACATTTTTAATAAAATGTTCTCAATGGGCGTAGATGTCTTCGCCCCGTTCATTCTCCTCTCATATCTTTTGAACAGGAGTAGAGGTGGATTCCTTGCTTCCTGTTTAGGATTGTGTTATCTGTTCCTTTTAAAATCTGCTTTTTACTCAATACACCTAGTGTCTTAGTTTGACCTCTGTAATTTTATTTATTACTTTTTTCTCCTCAATAGTTTTAGATAGGGTCGTCTATCGCCCGTTTCGCACTCCTCTCCGGTCTTTTGAACAGGACTATAGGTTTATGAATTGTTTCTTCTTTAGGGTATTCTTTCCGGTTTCTTCTCAAATGTTTTCATTTTCTTTCACTCCCAGTGGCACCTTGCGACTTGTTGGCATTTTTGCCTCGCTTGGGGGGGGGGGATTTATGAAAAAAGTAACATTCAAAACCGTCATCCTTACTAGTAAACGATAGTTATGGAAGCACACGGCATTTTTTTACTTACTGAGTTTTCCCATTAAACGTGGATTTAAATGGATATAAAGAAAAAACAAATGTGTTTTTCTTGTCAATTCACCTTAGTCGTACAGCCGATTTAATAATAATCTGATCTGGATGATTTAAAATATTCCTTAGATTCTCTTTGCCCGACGCTTCGAGACTGCAGTAATGGTGGATACAATGATCATTTTTATTTGCTTTAAGATATATTGAAGTCAGCATGGATGGACACAGCAAATATTTGGCATTCATTTTCAGTTTTGTTAAGAATGACTTTATATGGTTTTCATTTTCAGTAACTCGATCCGATTGAAAGTCCATTATTTAAATTATTCGGAATATTGTCCTCATTTTTGTTTCCATATTTATTACAACGTTTCGGCCGTTGTACTCTCCGGCCATCTTCAGGTGGTTGGAATGTCGAACTGAACCCTTTATTTCACTCACTGTGATAGACTTTTCTAGTTCCACGGGCCATGTTTTAATGGATGTCAGTTATTAGTTATCTCCTGCTAATCCCCCCTCTGCAAGTTCTCCACTGCCTTAACCGGGTATCGAAATCACTCTTTTGGATCTTGACACTGGATCTATCTAACGCCTTTATCCACTGTGCTATGTGTCCTTCAGGACATCTGTGTATGAATTTCTGGGTATTATAAGCCAGCAATCATTTTTTACCAGTGCTCATATTGCAATTTTTGCTGTTATCATTGCATGGAGAACTTGGAGAGGGGAATTAACAGGAGATAACTGATAACTGAGTTCCATTAAAACAAAACACATGGAACTAGAACAGTCTACACCAGTGAGCGAAATAAAGGGGTCAGTTCGACATTCCAACCACCTGAAGAAGGCAGGAGCGTACAGCAGCCGAAACGTTGAAGACAATAGTCCGAATAATGTAAATAATGTACATAATAGCTCATCTCAGAAATATAGACAGATACTGAAAGGCCGAAACGTTGTAATGAATATGGCAACAAAGAATAGGACAATAGTCCGAATAATGTAAATAATGTACATAATACCTCATCTCAGAAATATAGAGAGATGCTGAAGGGCCGAAACGTTGTAATAAATATGGTGACAAAGATTAGGACAATAGTCCGAATAATGTAAATAATGTACATGATACCTCATCTCAGAACTATAGACAGATACCGATTGAAAGTCATATTCCCAGACCATCTTTGGTCCCTCGATTATTCTCAATGGTACCTGGAGACGTTGAAAACTACTTTTTTTTTTTTTTTTTTTACATCGGAGCCACTTCAAGTTAAGGCAAACATGGGCATGCCGTCTCGTGTGCGCATTTTATAGACTCTGATAATTTCTGTGGCATTCTCTTATTTCATTATTCAAAGGTAGCACTTTTTAAAAAAAAATAATTACATGATGATTAAGAAAAAAATACTTGATTATATGATTATGTTACAGTTGGTATGATATTATATTACATATGATAATACATAATACATAATATATTACATATATAACATATATTTCATATTGTATTATTTTCTATTATATTACATATTATGCTGCAAATATTATATTAAATATTACATATTATATAAATATATTACATTCCGTATTATATTATATTACATATTTTATTACTTATTACATGTTATATTACATATATGACATATATTACATGTCATATCACATTATATTAAATGCATTGATATTATATTATTTTACATATTGTATTAAATTATATTAGATTAAATGATAATATAAGAAAAATTACACAGTGGTTCATCTGTAGTGACATACACGTTGATAGCTATGACTTTCGTACGTAAAGCTTGATTTTATCATTATTATTATTATTATCATTATTATTATTATTTTATTTTCATAG